CTCAGTGGGTGCCCTCTCCCATCATTCTAGCAGATAGTATTTCTCAGCAGCTACTGAGGGATGCCAGCCTATGGACTGAGTGAAGCTGACTGTTTTTTTAAATACAGTAGGTCTATTAATAGCTGATAGATATTCGCAACACTGATAGGCAGTTGTTAGTTAACTTTAAGATGACTAAGCCAGGCCACTTCCCCCTCACTTATCTTTGTATCAAACTAGCAAAATGCCAGTCCAATTTGAATCTGTTTGCTCTAATATCGTTAACATGCTTCTGTGGGTCTGGGTCCCGGGGGTCTGACAATAGCCTGAGGTTCACAGCACTTTAATGTTGTTTGTAATCTTATGGCAAAGAAATTCCATTACCTCTTCCCTTCGTATATTTGTATTTCAAGATCATGCATTCTCTATCCCAGTCCTGAAGCACATATATATTTATGATTAATGGTATATGTACATGCCATTAATATTATGTCACTTTTGTGTATCCTTTTTAACAAGTGAAAATAAATGCCTTGAAAATATTTTCATTCTGCACACTGGTTTATCAAACTGACACATTTAAAAGCCCTTTTTTAAACTAGAAATCAGATTTAATATCCTGATTAATTTATTCCAACCTCATCCTCTCTGCACACAATGCCGTGTAACGTGAATTGCATCTACTGACTTGCATGTAAAGATGAGTTTGATTTTAAACAGTCAGTTCTCAAAACTAGAGAGCTCTGATACATTTTAATTTGTTTCTAGCTTGATTTCATTTACACTTCCTGTGAGTGCATTTGGAATAAACAGATTTATCAATTTTTAAAATATTCAATAGCATTATCATATTAAAACTGTATTTAGATTTATGGCTGAAAATACAGTGGAACAATTCACAGTATTCTTAAACAATTAGGCTTAACAACATAACAACAAGCTACCCAAAATTTAAAATTCATACATTTAGAATTGGGGTCAAACCTCCATTCTGAAGTTTAAAAAACAAAACAAAATCAACAAACCACATAAACAACCTGCTCCCCCAACAAGTAATATCTCAGAGCACAGAATCAATGAAGCTTCATCTCCTCTGAATGCGCACCCTCAAAACGAACAGCCATGTGAATTACCGCTCTAGTAAGAATTCTGCCTCATAAGCTTCCTCACTGGACTTGGTTAGTACTACTGTTGTGTTGTCATCTGCATTAATTATCCATTAATTAGTGAAAACCTGCTCTGAAGCATGACGTAAACTGCTAATTAACCTTTTCATTTTTGTAATAGAATTTTATCTGCTGGTAGACTATGTGGAAGTAGAAAAGTTATCTTTATGGCGGGAGAGGTTTATAGGACTCGAATGTTTAGGCTCTCAAAGACAACCCAACTAGATCTGTTTGTCATTAAGCTGCGTTTCAAAGCTTGCAACTTCCAGTGAGCCATCAAAAAAGGAGTGGGTTTTGTTTGGTATCTGAGATGGAGCACTCATCGTTATGGAAGTGGAAGTGTGATTAACTCTGTTTTCAAAAACGTTGTACCAAACTTAAAAAAAAGAAAAGAAACAAAACAAAAAAGGACTGCTTTTAAGTTTAGGACCCCTGTTTTGCTTAGTTAAGTTGTTATCCAACCTGTAAAGTCAGAGAGAAGGTAACTTAATCGGACAAAATGCTTGAGAAGTAAAACTTGATTGTAATGTTTTGCCCTATTCTAAGCTTTCAAAGGAGGTCATAAATGAGATATAAAATTACTGGTTTTTCTGTTATGCTTGGTGTTGGTGTGGGCTTAATAATGCTGGTTAGACAGTTTAAAAAAACAAATGTTGCTTAGCTTTTTCCTTATTGAAGATGACAAAATATTTATTTTTAAGTTTTCTTGAAATAAGCGTGGGGAAAAAAAGATCTACAGCATGTGAAAGAGTATGATTCAGTGTTTATCAAGTTACATTTTATTAATAGCAACAATGCTGTAAACAGATGCTTTAGTGATTACTTAAAATGAAACAAAATAGTCCTTGTATGGAGTAGGGGAAAAAGGATTTAAGGTCATGAATACTGTAACTGAGGTTTTTTTCTTTAAAGAAAAAAAAAAAATTAAGTGTGCCTGCAGCACAGATCACTGTAGTTGGATATGCATGTACTGCTTGCTTTCTGGAAGCATTGAACTATCTGCTAAAACTCATCTCCCAGTACTGCTTTTTTTTATTCTCTGGTGTCTAGAGTGAAAAGTGCAGGGTTGTTATCATTTTCAAGTGCCACACAGGTTTTGCAAGCCTCATATTAACTTGAATGTTAGTGTCATTCAGTAGGAATACGGGAAAAACTGTGGCCATCTTTCATGTGAAAATAAGCTGCCATATTTGACTGCCAGGCCGTAGATTTCGTCAGCTCCGGCGCAGGGTCGGGGTGGGTGTTAGTGTTCAGTGGTTCACGTGGGAGGTGGTCACAGGGCTGGGGCTTCTTTCTTGAATTAAGAAGGTTTCTGAAGGTAAGAGAGGCTAGGTCTTAGGCTCTCTGTGAGTTATATTCTATGTGCAAGTGTCCTAAGTTTGTGTTTGGGTTTGTTGTTTTTTTTTTTCCTAACGTATATGCTAACCTGCCTAGCATCTGAAAGACAAAGATCTGTAAGAAGGTAGAAGTAGTACTTTTGGTTAACAAGATTTTCTAGACTACCATAGTGTTTTTTGTTTCTTTTGGTCCCCCCCACCCCGTTTTCCTAAGAAAACATGGATTACAAAGTTGTGCCTCCTGCACAGGTCTGTCGTCATTTCTGTTTTCCTCCCTCCTTACTAGTTTTTAGTCCTTTGACAAATTCCAAACAGATTTATGCCAAGTTTTGTAGTCTAAAGGATACTCTTTTTCCAGAAGTTCCATGAAAAAGTTTGCCTCTTTGATTAATGCTCCCAGTATGAGAAAGGGAGAGCATGAGCTAAATTCTTACTAGAGCGGTAATTCACATGGCTGTTCGTTTTGAGGGTGCGCATTCAGAGGAGATGAAGCTTCATTGATTCTGTGCTCTGAGATATTACTTGTTGGGGGAGCAGGTTGTTTATGTGGTTTGTTGATTTTGTTTTGTTTTTTAAACTTCAGAATGGAGGTTTGACCCCAATTCTAAATGTATGAATTTTAAATTTTGGGTAGCTTGTTGTTATGTTGTTAAGCCTAATTGTTTAAGAATACTGTGAATTGTTCCACTGTATTTTCAGCCATAAATCTAAATACAGTTTTAATATGGTAATGCTATTGAATATTTTAAAAATTGATAAATCTGTTTATTCCAAATGCACCACAGTATTAGGAAATACAAAAAGAATGTTGTCTGCTTGTATTTTACTTTTTATGCCTACCATAATGCAATCACTTCTGTTATACACATAAATAAAATGGCGCCATGCTTGCGGCTTCTTAATGAAGAATTAGATTGGAAAATAACTGATTGTATTATAAGACAAAGATATTGCTGTTATTGTCATGAAAAGGTAGAAGTGAATAATTTAGCAAATGTTAATAGCACAAGGACCATATTACTAAATTCACAGCAGGATGTAATGAAAATTTTGTCAAATGCAACTGCAAAAATAATGCCTTTTATTTCCTGTTGACATCATGATGTCTCCTTTTAGTATTAACCATTATGATATCAGGCCAGTCCTGCTCACTTCTTCATTAGATCACATTTTTGATCAAGAATTTTTATGTATCTTAAAAAACCCAACAAAGATGGTATGGCAGAAGTAGTTGTTTATTTCTGGGCTGTTATTGCCATATCACAGAAATAAATTTAGAGTATGAATACCACATTATTCAAAAATTAGTTAATGACTCCTCAAAACAGGTAGTGGAGAAAGAGTTTTATCTGATGGATGAATTGGTTTTGTAAACAGCTGTTGGTAGTGCAAGTTAGGAGGTTTGGTTGAACATGGTTTTTAATTGATCTGAATTGGTTACCTGCCTTGCTGTGCTGGATGTAGCTCAGCTAATAATTCATAGTTTCGTGCTTTCCTTTCGCCCCGCTCCCTTTTTAGGTTAAGGTTTTTTTTTTCTTTTCTGAAATATTCGACAGATGGTAGCTGTAGTTTCATGTACTATCAAAAGAGTTTTCCAACTTAAACATTGGATACATGCTTTCTCTCTTAAGTAGTGGTTACTTTCCAGCTCTTTTCAGGTATCTAGAATTAGCTTTCCCTTGCTTTCTCTTATCTGCCTATTCTAGGCTTTGTGGAATAAATGATACAAGTCTTATGTTTATAACTTGGGCACATTTTACACCACCTGTTGCAATAATGTACACTTAATTGTTTTTATTCTTCATTGTTAGATCTTGCTTCTGAATATTAGTGAACACTGTTGTTTGTGCTCTTTAAATATAGGACTTGACGTGGGATGACTGTACTGTTGTAGGCAGTTGGTGACAGTACCTGTAGTTTACTCTCTGAATACTACTGGCTTCAGGAAAGGAACTGTGAGGCAGTGTTCTGACCTGCAGTCTCCTTGGTGTGGGAGGAATATGCGTAAATCTTGGTAGTCAGCTTAGCCATGAACATGTTATCAGGATATGCTTCACAGCACTTCCCTCAGACTTACTCAGTCAAGTAACTTTGACTGAAATGTGTTGGTTCTTCCTAAAATAAGCTAAAAAATATTTAGTTGTTTATTACCTACTAATTTAGGTTTGAATGAAATTTTGGGGAAAAATATTTTAATCCTGCCATGCAACTTATTTAAATATTACTATGTTGTTATTTGCTTGAGAATCTGAAAATGAAACTGCTTAGATCATTTTAATTGAATAAACCAGAAAATACAAGTGTGAAAAGGTAATTGGATGAAATAATTTGTTCTTTTAACATGATTTATTTTACCTGTCAGTGTCTCTTTTTAAATGTTCCAGCTGGTGGGAATACATTATTACACCTCATTTTCAGTCTTTGAAGTATAAACACTACTTCTGAAGAAGAGCAAATCAAAACAAATATGATGGGACTTGTGCTTTGTATTGACTGCATTTTTGTGATTCATTTGAAGGTCATTCTGTGAGACTGCTGGGTCAGAAAAAGGATAATGGAAAACGTTTGGGGGGAGCACGACTGGATTTGCCAAAGATTAGGAAGAATCCACTGATAGAAATCATTTCCATCAATACAGGGTAAGAATGTTCCAAATTTATAAAACATTAAGTACTGCTGAGGAATTCAATTGATCTCTTTCTGTAGGCCTGGTGTATTACTCCGAAGTTACATAGCAGGGGGCAGGATGACCACTTTATATAGTAAAAGATTTTAAATGGCATTCTCTCTGGAAAATAAATCCCTGTTTACTTGGGTACAAGACTTCTGCTGCTCTAAGGCTCCATACAATCATGCAGTCCTCTTTGTAAGTTCATCTAACTCTTTCTCAAAAGAAAAAGTCCTAAGAAAATTGGAGAAGAAAAAAGCATTTAGAGTTTTTTCATGTGCTCTTTTGATTTCTATGAAAGCAGTTCTGTAATATCATTAGTAACTCGTTAAGATCTCTAAACACCTGATTGTCAGCCCAGATGTATTAATGGCTAAACTATATGTAGTTATTTGCTTCTTGCCCCTCTACTATGTTTGTAAAGAGTTATCATGCTTGTATTTCAGCCTTTTCTTTGTTTGAATAAGCTACCCTCTGCCTATCAAGCAACTCTTAATGCTCATTTCTCCATAAGGCTATAAGCGTTTTTCTGTTCTGTATTTCTGCTTTGAAGAAATCTATTTTAATATTTTTTCCCTTGATGCTTTCCTTTTCTCAACTCCACTTGGTCATCTCCTATTTGGTCAGTTTCCTAAAAAAAAACAAACCAAATGAAAAAAAACCACACAAGTCCTCTTCTGATTTTCCCATCTTCTTCAAATTATGTAGTAATTTCCCAGGTGGTAAAATGCAAAATGCGTTGTTCTAGGCATCCCAGGTAGGTGTGAACTTACTGCCTAGAGAAAAAAAATGTGGTAGCTCTTAGCTGTCTTTGGTTTGAGTTTAGTCTAGTACTTTCATAAGCATTTCATAAAAGAGTTTTGCTACAATCCTCTTTGTCTCTTACTTCCTTGTTTTTAAGTAACCTTGCCTTCATAATTTGCTGTAAAACCTAGTGTGATATTGTGATGGGTTGACCCTGGCTGAACGCCAGGTGCCCACCAAAGCCGTTCTATCACTCCCCCATCCTCAGCTGGACAGGGGAGAGAAAAATATAACAAAAAAGCTTGCGGGTCAAGATAAGGACAGGAGAGATCATTCACTAATTACCGTCACAGGCAAAACAGACTCAGCTTAGGGAAAATTAGCTCGATTTATTACAAATCAGCCAGAGTAAGGTAAATGAGAAATAAAACAAAATCTCAGAACACCTTCCCTCCACCCCTCCCTTCTTCCCGGGCACAACTTCACTCCCGGATTTCTCCACCAAGCCCCCCCAGCGGCACAAGGTGGACAGGGATGGGGTTTACGGTCATCACACGTTACTTTCTGCCGCTTCACCTCCTCAGGGGCAGGACTCCTCACACTCTTCCCCTGCTCCAGCGTGGGGTCCCACCCACAGGAGACAGTCCTCCACGAACTTTCTCCAACGTGGGCCATTCCCACGGGCTGCAGTTCTTCACGAACTGCTCCAGCATGGGTCCTTTCCACGGTGTGCAGTCCTTCAGGAGCACACTGCTCCAGCGTGGGTCCCCCACGGGGTCACAAGTCCTGCCAGAAAACCTGCTCCGTGGGCTCCTCTCTCCACAGATCCGCAGGTCCTGCCAGGAACCTGCTCCAGCGCAGGGTTCCCACGGGGTCACAGCCTCCTTCGGGAACCCACCTGCTCCGGCGTGGGGTCCTCCCCGGGCTGCAGGTGGAGATCTGCTCCACCGTGGACCTCCCTGGACTGCAGGGGGACAGCCTGCCTCACCAGGGTCTTCACCACGGGCTGCAGGGGAATCTTCGCTCTGGCGCCTGGAGCATCTCCTCCCCCTCCTTCTGCACTGACCTTGGTGTCCGCAGGGTTGTTTCTCTTACATGTTCTCACTCCTCTCTCTGGCGGCTGTTTTTCTCACTGTCCCAACTTTTTTTCCTTCTTAAAAATGTTATCACAGAGGTGTTACCACTATCACTGATTGGCTCGGCCTTGGCCGGCGGCGGGTCCGTCTTAGAGCCGGCTGGTATGGGCTCGCTCTCTCTCGAACACAGGGGAAGCTTCCAGCAGCTTCTTACAGGAGCCACCCCTGTAACCGCCCCCGCTACCAAAACCTTGCCACATAAAACCAATACAGGTATTTAGGTCAGAGTACCAGTTCAAGGCTTAGTGTGGTTACTTTTTCTTCCTCTGACTTATGGTAAACATATGGGTGATGTTTTGTCATATTGCTGAATTATAATACCTTTTTAAACTGCAGTTTCATGCATTGATTTTTTTTTTTTATTTTTTTTTTTTAAGTCTGGATATGAGCTCTTCAGGTGCAGTTACTTGAAGTGATCTAAATTTTTTTCCTTATTGTCTTTACTGTCGACATCGTGTTTGTGCCCATGTGATTGAATTCCTTTTCATGATTAAAAATAAGCAAAGCACTCTTTTATGTTTGGTTGTGTCTCAGATAGTATAAATTTTTCTTTTCCATTAATATTTATCAAAATCTAATCTTATAATATCTTTCTAGTTGTAAATGTTGTCAAGGATGTAAACTAATAGAGCCATGGTCTTGTTTACATGTCTTTTGTTTTGTAGTAGTGTGTTTAAGATGGTAAAATGTATTGCTATTTCTAACACCAGGTTATAGCTAGCCTAATTACAGAGGTTAATACAAGAAGGGTACTATAGGGTATATACACTTGATAGTAGGTGGCTGATGAGAGTATCAACCCTTTGAAAGAAAAAAATTTTAATATATTTTGAATATATGTGTTTTCATACTGGATTTTAAAACAAATTATCTCCCAAGTTGATCGAACTGCAGACAATTAACATCTCCCTAAGACGTTACCTTTGGAAAACCTTTTATTTAGAACCTGATAGTTTACAAATACTACTTTGCTTAGTAGTTATTCATGTTCTCAGGTCAATAGAATATGTATTTTATACCATAGGGTAATCTAAAAAATACTAGAAACCACAAAAATGTATTTATTTCATGGAGAATAATGTCAAATATGACTTGATAAGACCAGAGTATTCTGAAGACCTCAAACAAACAAGTCAGTTGTATAAGACACCTAAATTAACTAATGTCCCATTCTATGTTACATCACATGTTCAAGGAATCCTGTCTCTCTTGAAATACAGGTTATTGTGTTTTCCTGTCCTTCTTTTCCCTTTCCCCCTCCCCAGTCTCTCCACCTGTGCATTGCAGGTGACTTTTTTTGGTTACTACTCCAGGTTTGAAAATTAAATTGTAGCTTTAGAAAGGCAGCAGTGCTCAGCAGTTTCTGAAAACATAAAAATATAATCAGTGAAAAACAAGACACAGTACGTGTTAGTGTGACTTGACTGTGTTCATTTTATCAGCTTTGCCTTAGTAGTCTGGCTATGGCAATTTTTAGTACCAACACCACATTTGATCTGAGCTGTTTTCTCTGTGTAAAGACTGGAGAAAACTTTGAAGATTAGTTTTTGGTACATTGCAATTTCTTGAGAGGTGAGTTTGGATCAGACTAGAAGGTCTTAAAATAGTAAGAAATACATTAAAAATAGTGATTTCCTCTTTGGAAATACATTTGTCTGATGCTGTTGAGCGACGGTGTCCGGGAGCAGCACGAGCGGAGCCGTTCCGTGCGGAGGACAAGAAGGGACCCGAGGGTGCCACCAGCACAGGCAGTGCCCACACCAACGGGACACCCGGTGCCACGGGGCCTCAGCACGGTGGGCAAAGCTGGGGACTGGTAGTAGGACCCATCAGCAGTCCCAGAAATGGCAAATAATCAACCAGGGCCTGGGTCTGTCCGGGGGCTCCGGTCAGGATCAAAAGGAAACGAGCTGGAGATGGGACGGTGGAGGTCTGAGGTCCACCCAGAGCTTGATGGTGCCCGCAGGGCTCTGACAGCTGGTGGTGTATCACCGTTTACACGTGGGGTCTTAATGACCTCTTGGCCCTTTCTGTAATTCTGTGGGGGAAGAAAAGGCTTGTTGGAGCATGTGTATCCCAAAGCACTGCAGTCTGTGATGGCTCACACTAACCCCTTTCCCTCTCCAGTAGTACCAAGACCTTTATGTACGTGGTCACCTGCCAGCTGGAGCTATTCTTCTGAGAATTCTGTAGGACCAGTTTATTTTTGAGTCTTCAAATCAAACATGCTGATTGTTAAGAAGTCTGTCATTCTCGTACAACTGTGTTTGAGGATGGGGGTGCAACTGAAATGCAACACTGTAGAGTAAGTTTTGTTTCTTAACTCAAGGCGGTGTCAAATTCAATTCAGTAATTTTGATTTGAGGCTTCTTGTTGTTGATTCCTTCTTCTCTCAAACATGGAGGGGAAAAAATGTCCTGTCTTGAAGGGTTCTGCCCTTGTATAACTGTGAACTTTTTCCTTCCTTGCCCATGCACGAATGCATTCCTGCATATGCACGTGTTCCTCCATGCTTGTTTTCCCCAGACTGCTGCTGTGTATGAGTCTCCTCAGCTGTTCCTTTGCATGAATCAAGTCAGTCCTATCAAGGGACAAACATTCTGTGTCTCCACTACAGTATGCAGTCTGTAATAATAATAATTTAAAACAAACCAAACCAAAACCCCATTAGGTACAGAATATCTGAAGAAAAGTGCTGCTTCTGTCTGTGGTGAGCCAGCTCAGCGTTTTCACTTAGTGGCATATCTGTCCCTAAAAAGGTGTTGCGGTGCTCTTGGAGGGACCTGGATCTTGTTCAATGTTTGGTGCTTTTTCGGAAGTAATGGACAGGGGTTTTTTCTACTGTTAATTTTGGTTGCTCTGAGGTTTGCTGTTTTCTCATTTAGAAATCCAAGGTATCTTTATCCGTTTAATTTACCATGGCAGTTAGTGGTTTCTGTCAACAGACCATGACTCTAGAGGAAACCTTCCATCCCAGGAGCAACATGTTTCAGAGTTTCCAAGTATGTTTGCAGAGGCTATGGTGAGTACCAGAATGGGGGCACAAGAGACTTATCAGACTTCTCTGACACACAAAGGTACGTTAGTGAAT